ATAGTTGTCAAGGACCATTGAATTGGAACCAACCCATAGCTGATCCTCCAGCAGGTTTTCAGAGGCAATTAATCACACAGGAGGAGATTGTCCATCCTTCTCCATGGAGAATCTAGTGGATTTGAATTGTGTGCCTTCAGTATTTCCGTGCAGATTCTTACCACTAGGCCACCAGCTATCTATCTCTATCTATCTATCTATCTATCTATCTATCTATCTATCTATCTATCTCTACAAACATTCATACACATATATAATCTATATTTAAGGGAGTTCTGGTGGCTTAGTGGTAAGGAATTGTACCCACCAACCTGAAGGCACATGGTTCGAACCCACCAGCTGCTCCACGGAAGAAAGATGAACAGTCCCCTCCTTACAATTCAATGGTACACAACAACAACAACAAATTCTAAGTTACAGTTTGGTTCTGACTTGATCATACACAACAACTAATTTGTTTTTATGTACATTGATTTGTGGTGTTGTGTACCATTGAGTCGGAACCAAACCTTAGCTGACCCTCCAGCAGGTGCGTAGAGGCTGTAAATCACGTGAGATGAGACTGTCCACCTTTCTCCTGCGGAGCAGCAGGTGGATTTAAACCACGTGCTGTCAGGACGGAGGGGCACTTCCTTACCATTAAGATGCCAGAGCTCCCATTTATGTCGAATATATATAATGTGTATTTCTCATATAGTTATACGTTCAAATACATATGTAAGACATCAAAAGGCAGCTCAGGAAGACAAAGCAAAGTATTCTAATAAATTGTAAAAAGAGTTAGAGTCAGAAAATCAAAAGGGTCAAACTCGTTCAGCATTTCTTAAGTTGAAGGAATGGAAGAATAAAGTTAAGCCTTGTGTTACGGTATTTAAGGATGCTTCAAGCAGAATAGTAAACGATCCGGGAAGCACCAAAGGAAGATGGAAGGAGGATACCAGAAAGAACTGGCCGACACAGAAGTCTTTCATGAAATAGCTTATGTTCAAGAGGCAATGGTGGTCAGAGTAATTCAAGCTGCTCTGAAGGAATTGGCAGAAAACAAGGTCCCAGGAATTGATGGGATACCAACTGACATATTTCAACAAACAGTTACAGTCCTACAAGTGCTCGCCAGGTTGTGCCAAGAAATCTAGAGGACAACCACCTGGCCAGCTGACTGGAAGAAAGCCATATTCATTCCCATTCCAAAAAGAAAGGTGACCCGACAGAGTGTGGAGATTATCCAACAATATCACTCAGATGACACACAAGCAAAACCCTGCTGAATAGTGTCCAAACGTGACGGGAATAGTAGCACATCAACAGAGAACTACCAAAAATACAAGCTGGGTTTAGAAGAGATCATGGCACTAGGGAAATCATTGCCAATGTCAGATACATCTTAGCTGAAAGCAGAGAGTACCAGAGGAATGTCTCTCTGTGTTTCACTGTGGAAAGGCATTTGACTGTGTGAATCACAACTTAATGTGGCTAACCTTGAGAAGGGTGGGAATCCCAGAACACCTGAGTTTGTTCATGCAAAACCTATACTTGGACCAGGAAGGAGTCGTCAGAACAGAGCAAGGAAACACTGCATGGTTCAAAATCAGGAAAGGAGTGTGTCAGGGATGCGTCCTGTATCCATACCTTTTCCATCTCTATGTAGAACACATCATTTGAGGCTGGACTTTTATGAGGAGGAATGTGGCATCAGGATTGGAGGAAGACTCATCAACAACCTATGTTATGCAGATGGCACAAATTTACTTGCTGAAACTGAGGAGGGTCTGAAGCATTTGCTGCAGAGGGTCAAGGACTGTAGTTTGAAATGCGGATTGAAGCTCAACATCAAGAAATGAAGATTCTCACCACTGAGCCAACTGGCAGCACCATGATAGATGGAGAAGAGATTGAGGTTAACAATTTCAGTTTACTCGGCTCTACAGTCAATATTCTTGGCACCAGCGGCAGTCAGGAAATCAAAGATGAAATGCATTAGGAAATCTGTCAGGGACCTCTCCAGAGGACTGAAGAGAAAGGATGTGAGTCTGAAGACCTGATCCAGGCCATGGTCTTCACAATTACTTGCTATGCATCAGACAGAGCTGAACAATGACCAGTGATGACAGAAGAAAAATTGATCACTTTGAGTTGTGGTTTTGGAGAAAAGTATTGGATATTCATTCAATGGACTGTCAAGAAAAGTAACAGGTCTGTTCTGGAGAGGGTAAAACCAAGCTGCTCCTTGGAGGCAAGGATTTTAGGACTCTGTTTCACATATTTTGGGCATACAGCCAGGAGGGACCAGTCTTTGGAGAAGGAGATCATGCTTGGAAGGTTTGAGGGACAGAGCAGCGAGGAAGATCCCAGATGAGATGGACTTGACATAATAATTGGGGTAATAAGGGTGGGGCCCTCAGGCCAAATTTATTACTTTTAGAAGAATATTCTTTTAAAGACACAACAATCATTTGTCTATGTCCTGTACTGAACAACTTGGAGTTGCTGTGACTCTGAACACTGTGCCATAGTCGTGTCAAATACCATAATTCTCACCCATCATGGACAATGTTTGGATGAGCTTCCAGATTGATTCAGGTTGGGAAGCAGGAGTGGCATCCACTTCCTAAACTAGATGCCTCTGGAAACTCTACAAACTCTCTTATAAATGTACGGAAATGATGCTAATTATAGAACAGAGTTCAGGTCTTTTGTGCAAAGCTTACTCCGAGTTATATTCGACTCGACAACACATAACCACTGCTGAATGAGATCAGTGCTGTTATATCTGGAGGAACATTCTTCCACTTTGCACATCACTCTTGGTCAATGTGCTATGGGAGGTAACCTGGGTTGCTATGATGCTGAATCTTGTGCCATGGGGACATCAAATGTCATAATGGTTTCCCGATGTGGACAGTGTTTGGTGGAGCTCCCAGTTGTAAAATGGGTTGGGAAGCAGGAGTGGCATCCACTTCCTAAACCACATGCCTCTGGAAACTCTATGAACCTGGAGAAACAATGATAGCTGTGGAAAGGCATTAGGTCTTTTGTTCATAGAGTTGCTATGAGTCAACCTCGACTCATGGCAATCAACAACAACAACAATGAGGGTGGGTGTGGCACAGACAGTGAGACTGGCTCAGGATAGAGCAGGGATCAGAGATGTTGTGCACAGGGTCGCTATTGAGTCATGGACGGCTCGATGGCACATAACAACAACATACACTCATCTACATGTTCAAGTATACATGGTTTTATATATTTATTTATACATTCAAACAGCTATCTATAATTGTTGATCGGTGCCACTGAGTTGACTGTGGCGCATAGCGACCCTGGGAGCACATGTCAGAGCCCTGCCCACCCTCCCCGTCCCCGCAGTCTCCGTGCTCAAGCCCACTGGTGCAGTGGTTGGGTCGGTCCATCCCTGGCCGCTCTTCGTCTGACCCTCCGCTAGGGCTTCTGTGGGAGGCCCAGAGCTGATAACATTCCCAGGTTGGACGAAGCATGCAGAAGAGCACACAGCAGCCACAGCGAACACGCAGGGTGGCAGTTACAGGGTTGGAACTGCTACAAGAAGGTTGTTGATGAGTGCAAGGAAATGAACAGTAAAAACCAAGGGAGGGAGACTTCAAACCGTGTTCGGTGATGAGCAGAACCCCCAGAAATGAAAATCCGGTGCTCTGAGCTTGGCTCACAGTCAGTGCTGGGTAACTGAACAAATGAACCTTCTGTAGGATTTGCAATATAAATATAAATGGATGACTCATCCCAGGAAGAGGTAGATTTGCAGAAAGATATTAAAGTGAATTGGCAGCAAGGTATCAAGAGCAGGAACGTCCTTGTGGACAGATTCAGAGGAAAATGTTGGCTAATTTAGGCAACAATGAGAGGATACAGGGTGGTTTAAAGTGAGGAATGGTGGATGTCAGAGTGTTGAGCCCTTGAACCTTTTAACTACTTATTTAATTCATATGACAAGTAAACAACCTGGTCAGCTGATCTAACTACAGATGAAGAACACAGCACCTGGGCTGGCGGAAGACTAACTAGTAGTCCACAGTTTTCAGATGACACAGCCTTGCTTGCTGACAGTGAAGGGGACTTATGGCATTGTACTCTTGAATCTGAAAGACTAACATACACTCTTCAGTATGGATGACACCTCAATATAGAAACAAAATACAACTGGAACAATAAACTGCATTGTGATAATGGGAGGGAAAAAATGGATTTTACTTGAATCCACAATCCACATCCCAGGGGCAGAAATCGTCAGAACTTCAGAGGACATGCCACAACAAGCAGAGGGCACGTCGGAAAAATCAGAGTGGGCAACTCTGCTCCTGAGGACCTCTTTGGAAAAGAGAAAAGACATCACTTTGACGTCGGAGGTTCATTTTACCCAACGCACAGCATTTCCAGTCACTTCACATGCATATTGTGAAGGCTAGACTGTGAGGAAGACCTACGACCTGATGCCTGTGCATGACAGTGCTGACAAATAATAGTGCTGAGTACACTGCGGACGGCCAGACAAACAGAACGGGCCTGGAGGGAGTGCAGCGAACGTTCCCCAGAAGTGAGGACAGGACTTTCCTGACACCCCCCCCGGGCATGTTCTCAGGAGGGACTAGCCCTTGAGAAGGACAGTGTGGCGGTGAGCAGAGCGTCAGCAGAACAGAGGATCCTCAGTGATGGACTGACATGTTGGTTGCAGCAAGATGTGCGAACAGAACGACGATTATGAGGATGGGCGGGACCAGGCAGTGCTGGCCGCTGGCCGCAGGGTCACCACGGGTCACAGCGCTCAGTGGAGCCGAGGTGCCATTAATACCCAGTCACAAAGCGCTCCAACCACGCGGCTCTGCCTGAGCTGGGGCGACCTGGCTGGCTCCACGTTCTATTTGCTGAGCTTTTCTGGTCTTTTAGCTGCAATGCTATGGCGAGGAGTATTTGTGAACCTCTATCAATAACGTTGTGGGGAGCAAACGAGAATTCATGAAGAAGAATCCCCAAAGACTTCTGCTCAGTGCTCACTGTTGTGTAACTAGTAGGGATGCGATTCAACACAGGAGGACTTTACAAAGTAATTCTGTGTCCACTTAACCCAAGGAGGACTACACTTGAGCACCTGACAACCCCACTAATCACTTCTTATTCTATGCTTAAATGGGCTACAGGCACCACTAGGATCTCTACAGTGCTCTGGTGGTCTAGTGGAAAGGAGCCACACTGCCAATCCAAAGGCACACAGTTCAAATCCACCAGCTACTTGCATGAGAAAGATGTACAATCGTCCCTTAAATTTGCTGAAAACCCGCAGAAGGGTCAGCTATGGGTTGGTGTGACTCGAAGCACACACAGCAAGGATCTTGAAGTCTGACCTGGAGGAGGGCGGGGGGTGGAGGAGGGTGGCAGCCTGGGTTACTGCACAGGTGACGGTAACTCTATGAGACCTCTACAAGCCTATGTGTGGTCACTAACAACAAGGACGTAAAGGTCCCATCAGTCTGGCAATTCTGAGGAGAGATGACCTATAAGACCGAGTGATGAATGTGTACATTGTCTCCAAATGGGGAGTCAGACACAGAGGACGAGCTGCCTGGCGTCCAGCAGGCCCGCGGGCCACAGGCTCCTGTCAGCACTGCTCGCCTGTCTTGTGCCTGCCCCTTGGCTGCCGGCCTGGGCATGTAACAAGTGGGGCCGTTAGCAGAGTTGGAGCAGGGATGCCAAACGTCACTCAGCTGACACGAAAGGAGCCATTAACCCAGATACTACAGACAACTCAAGCTCTGTCCCCTGACCATCTCTGCTTACACTGGACAGAGGGCATTATGGCCCTCAGGTTGGAAGGAGGACACCACACAATTCTGCCCTAAAGATGTGCACGGAACAAAGTTGTTGGGGCTTCTGTTCGTACCAGGACGAGGCCGCTGCAGACACCTACTAGGAACCGGTCTGGGCACCCGGTGGAAGTGGACAGAGGGGAGGGTCAGCCATGATGGACGCACCTTCATGACGAAGAAGAGGAGGAGGACGATGACCACATTGACCTGCGGGTGGATCCACACGGCCGACTGGCCCAGGCTCGCCGGGTCCCCGAGGTGCTTGACCCACGTGTTGTTGTCAAACAGGGTACTGATGGCCTCCCGGGGCATCAGCTGAGAGCAAGGCCAGGGCGTTCCAGGACAGCTCCTGGCCTCTGGCCCCTTCCCTCGGGACAGACTCCACCCGCTGGCCAAGCCCCTGCTCGGGGAGCCCGGGGAGCCCGTGGAACCGCCGTGCCTTAGCTGGCCTCCCCGTGGCCCAAGCTGGCTAGTGACCTGAATGCCCCCGACTCCCTCTGAGCTGACCTCTCCAGCCATGAACTGGCCCATGCCTGGGGGGAAGGTGAGCGAGGCGATGACAAAGGTGACGATTCCAGGGTACAGCAGGCGGCTAGAAAAGAGATGGAGTCAACCCTCCACAGAGCAGACACGTGCGATGCTGACCATCTGCAGTGTGGTCAGCGCACACTGACCGTTCACAGTGCAGCCTAGATGAGTCAACCCTCTGCAGTGACACACAGACACGCTGACCATTCATAATATAGTGTACACTGACCGTCCACAGCGTAGTACACACACACACACACACACACACACACACACTGACCGTCCACAGTGTAGTACACACACACATACACGCTGACCGTCGACAGTGTAGTACACACACACACATACACACTGACCGTCCACAGTGTAGTACACACACACACACACATACACACGCTGACCGTCCACAGTGTAGTACACACACACACACACACACTGACCGTCCACAGTGTAGTACACACACACATACACGCTGATCGTCCACAGTGTAGTACACACACACACACACACTGACCGTCCACAGTGTAGTACACACACACACACAC